ACAGTCCAAACCAAGCACAGTCCGAACCAGCACACTAAGAAAGTATTATAAGTAAGTGGGTAATAATAGTAAGTATGTAGTAGTAGTAGTAAATGATCTTTACTCTGTGCTCTTTGAATTTGTTTACCTTTTCAAAGGTCAGTCCCTTTTTTTATTGTTTACATTCTGCGTGTGATCTCTTCTAGGAGGAGTCGCAGGGGTTTATTTTTGTCAAATCCCAGGAATCGTAAGTTAGTCGGATATCAGATTGTTTTGGCCATTGAAAATACACCTCGGTGGCCGAGCGCACTTCAAAATGAATTATTCAAAATTAGTTGGTACAGTGCAAGACATAATAAAACGAGTGCGTTTAAAGGCCTGGCCGATTTTATGAAGTACCTTAAGTATAAAATTACATTTTTTTTTTGTTCAACAATCTTGATATTTTTTTTTATTAACGAAATAAGATTAATTTTTCGAGTCAGCAACAGACGTGGCGGCCGTAATGCGATCCATCACAATAACTATTGAAACGTTTCAAATGCATTTTGACAAAACATTTTTCGACTCGTTGAACACTTTTTTTCAGGCTTTTTATGTTATTGTCCTAACAATGCTATTATAGTTAAAGTGTTAGTTTCTGTAACCGGTAAACGTTTGTTACATTTGCGTACAAGCGGTATCTTTTTGATTGTACTTCTGATTGTATCTCATTGTATAATGAGATACAATTTAGAAATTGCATTATAAATTATAATACGATTATTACAAGTCTAAGGAAAGCAGTAACAGTTACAGAGCTGCGGTCGCATTGCTATTGCCATCGCGTCCAAGTAAAGTTAATTAATATCAATTACTTTATACCGACATTATAGTTTGAACCATTGTAACAGCATAGTTACCAGTTATAAAAAAATAAATAAAAGCATACCGTAAAGGGCAGTTTTAAAGTGTAATTTTTAAAAGTCAAATAGCAACATGCGTATTTTAATTACTTTTTTAGGAGCACTATGATTTAATAAAAATAATCACTGGTCGATAACCAGTTTCGAATGAAGACTTCATGAGTTACTATAATTATTATTTAACGTTAAAGCGAGAATAGAAAATAACGTTACAGTCTACTTTGCCCCTTTTCAATGCTAACAATTCAAGAAGTATTTATCCAAAATCGATTATCGATCAGTCATTATTTTTTTTTTACACCCTAATGCTTTTCATAGGCGAATTTAATGCACAGGTTGCTTTTGACTTTTAAAAGTCACTCACACAATGTTAAACTTTAAAATAATATTTTTTATTTAAATATTCAGTTTGGTTTTTTTTTTATTATTAACTAAAATACGGATTTTATTTGAAAATTGTGCAATAAATCGTGTAAATGAACTTACAATTCAATATCGATCTCATACTTGAATGTTTGAAATCAAACAATTAAAAACTAACTATTATGTTATAGCAAAATATGTGTTCTCAAAGAAGAAATTAATTTGAAAAAATTGAAAATTATTGTAAATAACAGCTGTAACATTTAAAACTCATTTTATCAGCAGTGAAACAGCCAAGGAATAACACGCCCACGTCAAACGTGGTATAAGAAGAAGAAGTCTTATACCACCAAAATGTAGTACGAATCCAATGAACTTACTTGATTTATTCAATTACTAAGTGCCCGAGGTGTGAAATGTATTTTAAATATACATTAAGACTCGTTTAAATAAGGCGGGGAGATCCGTAACATTTTTATTGCCTATCTTGTTTATGTATTTCCTCGGGTGAAAATTTAAAAACCATCAACAAGAACATTGGTTTCCATAGCAACACTTTGGACGGACGGACGGACACAAGTGAAGTGTGGGTAGGTACAAGGATTTTATGCAAACCAAAAATGAGATAAAATGTATACATTTTTTGTTTTAAGCTGATGTTTTGCCTGAAGGCAGTAATGATCTATCGTTGGACAAAGAACACAATACTGACTGAATTCAGACTGTATGAATATCACAGAATGGCATGTGACAATATTACAAGTGAGTATAATTAAGTACAAAATTAAAGTGAATTTCCATTGTAAAAGTGTTGCCAGCAATGAAGTCTTGTGCATAATCGATTATTTTAAAACGCTCTAGAAGAGTGTCCAGTTCCGAATTAACTGCTTAACTACATCACAAATCATGTAAACCAAATATAATCTTGTTCAAACAGAATTTTAGTTTAGATGTGTCTTAACATTCCACATGGAATCAGCTCCAGTTTTGTGTTATCAACGTTTCCGAAAATCTACTTTAAGTTATGTTACCCTCGTGGCTTAGATTGACCTTCATTTAGTACTTTTATAACCCCATTAAAATTACAGTGACTATAATATAGTTAACGAGATAGTAGAAAGTTAGACAGAGTTTTATCGTTAAGCACAGTTGGCGAAAGTCCAGTTACACCTCTCCACGTAATTAATAAACTAATGCATATTCTAGTCGCCTTTATTATTGTCAATTTTTTAGCTTCTTTCACCGTTTTTTTTTTTTGGTACACTATCTTTGTATGGTTTTCTCTCATTTTCAACTTAGTACCCAACCCTTTATCAATATAAGATGTAATCACAGATGTATATATAATAAACTAGATTGCTAACTAGCGATAAGAATTGAAGCCGACGGTCCGCCATTCTGGTGGGATTTATGTGTGTTATCAATGCATAATATATATATCTGTTATAAACATATATTATTCCCACGTGATAAGGTTCTAATTCCCACCAAGAGGGCGGAAAGTGGCTGCATCAATCTTCTCTATTGGTGGCATGTACAGTTAGCAATCTAGTTTATTGTATATATATATATATATATCTGTGGATGTAATCGATAAGAGATTACTGATAAGAAATTTGTGATAATGGAATGATGATAAGGGATCACTGATAAGAGATAAGTAATATCGAATAACTGATAAATATTAATTTTAATGGTTTCGGTTATGTACCATCGTTAGTACGACACGTGGTAAATATATTTTCTGATTTATATATTAAAAACTGTCCGGACCCGGCGTTGCCAGAGATTTAGTCTGCCAGGGCTGAGTAAAATAATTCCCAAAGTTTCAAGGCGATCGGATGAATGGTGTACTAATGCGTAAAGGACAAACGGATAGACAAGAATTCATTTATATATACATAGATTTCAGCTGAAGTGAGATTTTCCATAGATATTACCCCTTCAGAAAATCTGGCATTGATACCGTATTGTAGTCCTTTAATTCTAGTATTGTTGTAAATTGGGAAATATCGTGTAGTTCATGTACTTTTTTTTTTTTAACAAATTCCGGACCGGATAGGTCCTTCCGCTCTGGCAGTCTTTCTTTTGTTATTAATTTTGATTTGGTGTTCGTCACTCTTCGCTACACAGACCCTGTGTTGTTTTTGCTGTCTCAAAATGACATCCTATTGTTAACAAATTGATGTTGTCTAGAGTGTAAGACGGATGAAACGAGGTTTTGTACTATTGTTGCAACATCAAACAGCCTTATTTGCTCCTTTAGCGTTACTTACAGCGCCAAATATTTGGTAAAGGTGCCCGCATTAAACCTACGCTGTCGTCGTAACAATAATGCCGTTTTGGATATTATGTTGAATTCACCGCCTTTTACTTCCACCGACAACAAAAATTGATTAAACCCAAATATTTGAAGAATAGTGTGCATACAAGTAATGCTTTCAACTATATTTGATTATATTACCAAGTCTTATTCAAGTTAGCTGAGAACTTCCTGTAAATCTTGTGCTTAAACTTAGGAAAATATTGTTTTTCAAGATTTTGAAAATTCAAATTTTTTATTTTAAGATGTCTCAAAAAAAAAACCTAAACCCTATTGTTTTGAAACATTTTGGTTTGGATTTTCGAAATTATAATTCGACTAAAGATTTAGATTTTTGCAATTTTTTCTGCTGATAATGAATAAGGAGATACATTTTTATTTTTTTTTTTGTCAAATGTAACAAGTTACATAATATAGTAACAGTTTTAAATTACATAAAAATTAATAAAGTTGGTCACCTTAACGTCGCCATGGTTGGATTACCATAGTAGTGAGCACCATGTTAGGTTAGTTTAGGTTAGGCTAATTCTACCAGGATAATATTATGTATACTTAACTTTCCCCAAACTAAATAGGTATAGCTATTCTTCTCTGATTACTGTGAACAATTTACAATAATAATTCCAACACGAATACAATCGCAGAAACCTTGTCAAAACAAGTTTTGTTGGTCTCGAATCTTTTTGAAAGTCCGCTATAAGTAAATACTTGCGATTACCGATTTTGAATATTTCAAGTGTTGTAGTGTTGTACTTGCGGTTCCAAGGCCAAAAATGTTATGTGTGTTAGTTTTGGTAAAAAAAAACAAAAACACCCGCGATAAGAGAATGGCCGATAGGCTGGTTTTTATGGTCTATAAAATATCACTTTGCGGTTTGGCTGAAAGCCGAAAAGGTTAAGTGTTAAAACTCGGAATGTTTATCTTATTTCAGAATCAAAACGAATCAATAGCGCCCGTACAAGGTAGTTGTACAAATGCAAAACCAACCTTACATTTTTTTCAAAGCTTTCATTGTTACATATTATATTTGTTTTGCTCGGACAGACCAATATAATATTGTGGTAATATAATATTTCATTTTTATCAATACGTTTTTAATTCTGCTTTGCTATTATACTTGTTATTTGACGATAAAATATTAGTACACAATAAAAAAATCTATAGTTTTACAATATTGGTGGGGGGGGGAGCATATTAAATACATTCGATAGCAGCTTTTTGCGTTGTGGGAGTAAAAATTAGTCTAATTGATTGTAGTAAATCACTTTTGTAGCACGTCGATCATTGCGTATGACAACAAATATATAAAAGAATTATTCACATTTACCGTACATGTCATTTTGCGAATGGTCGTTTTAGTGGTTTGTTACAATTGATAATAATATTAAAAGTGTTCTCTGTATGTATTGAATATTATGTAGATACTTACTTTCCAGAAGAAGTACAAAACAAAATACACGTTTTTCAGGCCAATTTGATCTCGGCAATATTGTAATCCCGGCTTTGGTCGGGCTGCAATCTGAAATGAATAAAAACAATTGAATTGACATTTGTTGTTGTTGGTTTCGCGTTTAAAAGCTCATTAAACTTTTGGGGGGATCGTATTAAGACGTGTAATTACGATCCAAGTGTGTTCGCGTTGATTATTTTGTAGGCCAATTAAGGAGACCAATATTTGAACACCAAGATTAATAGTTTTGTTTTTCGTTTTACTATAATCTAATATGATTTGAGAAGTACAAAGACAGAGAGAGCGCAAGTAATAGCAATCGCCAGCCGAATTCTCATAAGCCGAGGTGTCAACAAAATATTATTTCACTGTTAGCAGTGTTAGCTCGGTTATTAGTCTTGAAGTGACTTACATATATATATATATATATATATTGACAATAATAGACGTTCCGTACTTAGGTGGTGGACAATATAAAGGCTGGCACATAAATGCTAGGGAGAAGCGGCTAAGGTATTAGCACTAAGCTTTGTTATAGGTTGTATTGCTATACGAACTGTCGTTTGCTATTAGCCAATATTTTGAATTTACATATTATTTTGTTTTATTTGCTTACAATCGTCCCCACTCGACTCTAATGGCGTCTATTAGGGTCAAGTAGTCTCCCCTCGACGGTGGAAAGTTAGAAAAATCGAAACTCATCAAATTGTACGACTAGTATGACATATGACTCGAAATCCAAAAAAACATATTTTATAAAATTCTATCATTAAACGAAGAGAGATGTCGTGTTATTTATATTTTTTATACATCTTGTACATACAATTAAAAGGGGTTATAAAAAAAAAATATATTAATAATGCGGTCATGTACATTTTAAAAAATGTATCGGATAGCGCTGAACTTCACTTTAAAAGAATCCCAACCGAAATTCCAAAACAACATTGTGTGAGCGTTATATGTTTACTGTATTACACATATAACCTATAAACTCACCACAAGCAAATAACCGAGCCGGTCATGTGTGTATTCAATAAAAAGTGTTGGAAAAAATAAAATAAAAATTCTAAAAATGTCCAAACACGTTTTACGGGCCTCGCAAGGCGATTGAGCCGAGAAAAGAAAAATTCTTAGATTTATTCGTTTATTGCTTAAGGGTTGATGTGTAGGAATTAGATACCTATACATATAATATATATTTTTGATATCGAATAAGTAAAAAACGAAATTTTGAAATTTCGTTCATGGTGTTCAATGCGTTTAATAAATCTTAAACAGGCAAAAAAAAAGTGTTTTTTAAAACTATTTTTTTCCAAATGTCTATAAGCTGCATAAAAAAAATTTAACAAGAACCATGATCGTATAAAATATTTTTTAGATTGCTTTTCTTGAACTAGAATCTGCTTTCTTAGTTTTAAGTCACTTAAAAGTCCAAGATTTGAAATTCAGATCAATATTTATTACACCGAACGTGTTCAGTTACCATCGTTATGGTTAATACAAATTTTAAAAAAAAAACCTGTTTTACATAAGACACGATCCGTTTCCGCGCCAATATTATTGAGTATTAAATTTAAATTTATTAATTTTTCTACATGCTGTCTGTAAAGTATAAAAATCGAGAACAATAAAAAAAACCCCAAATAGCTTTTGAGAGAACTCATTGTGACTTCTTATTACAACACAATTTTTAGCATCTTATTGAGCGGATTTTTTTTTAAATAAAGATTATATTGTGTTGCAATATAAAGTTGCAGCATCCCAGTGTACATATTTGTTCGAAAGACTTTTCGTGATACTAACATTTATTATTATCTTAAAGTTTCAATAATATTATAGTAACAACGTGTTTCTTTTGTCAGCGTTACAAACAATATAAGCAAATATAGCTCGATCAAAAGTGTAATGCGGTTTCAACCGATAGAAAATCCATATATAAGAAATACATTGGGGATGCGGTAACGTTTGGTAAACAATATACAATCATAAAACAAATTATATCACACAGATGTGTGTTATTGCAAGTAAAACAGGCCACAATTTATGCGACATTGTCTACAGTTGGTAACCGTCTTACCTGGTTCGAGACATTCAACATGACTTTGGCATTTTTCCAAAATACTCAACAAAAAAAAAAAATCGTTCTTTAGGTGTTTTTATTAGCGACTTAAAATTTCGGTATTATTGTTTCGTAAATGGTCTATTGTTTTATTTTAATGCTATTTTATGCAATCGTGTATTTTTTTTTAGTTAATTATAAATTATTCCATAATAAACTATATTAGATAGGTAAGTATCGCATAAATAAAAACGATAAAAAGTTTTAGACTTAAATACCTACTTAAAGTTTCAATATAAAAAAAAAAACAAACACACAATTTTTAAAATCAATACCTCATCTTAGTAGGCTTTGCATTGAAGCTAAAAAAAGATAATTGTTTGTATTTTTAATATAAATTATACAGTCGAGCTTAGTCGTCAATCCGCCAGCTTATTTTGGAACAAAAGAAAATAATCTAAAATTCATCAAATTTGGTTTGAATAGCTTTTACATTGAAATAATATAATCAATCAAGTGAGTAATGCAAATAACAAAAATAGATCGGTTTTACAATATTAATATTATAATTCTGAATTCAAACAACTATGGGTTAAATGAACAAATGAACAAAAATCCAAGCAACAAACAATTATTGAATGAATTGAAACGGTACAAGCGAAGCAAAATCAATCACATAATACAAATTATGGTATATTGTACTACTTTCAAGAACGATCCGTTATTGAGTCGGAAAATAGGTAAGTATCTATAGGCGATATTATAATAGGTAACATTGAGGATGTAAAAGTATTCATCACATTTTAACTTTAATATAGATTTCCGCATAATATAAAAAAAAACCTATTTTTCTTCGCAATAAGCTTTGAGATTTAAGTCCAGGGTTCCAAAAAGTCAATTTTATCAGCTCATAGCCAGTCTAGAAAACGTGAAAAATATAAGTTCCTGATGTGAAAAAGTGGAGGAACAACTTTTTTAATGTAAATTTTTTATTTAAAAAATTCTAGATGTGGTAGGAAAACAATAAGTTGGATTGATGGACGAAACCAAGGAACAGAAACAGAGGATACTTCGACAAGGCATAACAATCTTAGCTAGCATGAATACATTGTTGAATGTATAAAAAACAAATTGCATCGTTTTTTTTTATTCTAATAGTTTTGGCAAAACGACTAACAGGCATATAGTTTTGAATCATTTATAATATTACATTAAAGCCAGTCTTCAGAATAGGAGAAACGTAATTATTATATTTTTCTCATCCATTTGGAACGACACCCAAACGTAATGAGAGATTGAACATGGCAGATAAGGAAATGACCGTAACCAGATATTAGATAAGCCGTTGGAAATCAAGGTTATCGAGATCAAGAAAATTTTCTTCCACAGAACAATCATAAAGAAAAAAAACTGATAGATATATCGTAAAATTCAGATGGCTATTTAATATTTAGTGTAACACAAATTATATATGTCGATTCCTAGACGGTGCATTGTGTTCGCCAATAATGTGTTGCATACTAATGTGTTCAATAATACGCCTAAACGATAATGGTTAAAAAATAAATAATAAATAATTCATTATACTAAACTAGTACTACTGGTATTTAGTAAAAAAAACTTATATATATTACCATACTAATTGTGCGGTACAAAAGATAAACATGAAAAAAAAAAAAAAAGACAACAATAACATGCTGTATCTTATATTATATAACATTATTATAATATAGAAATTAACTCAAACCCACTTTATTTTTCCAACCATTACTTACTCAAGAATGAACCATTAAATTAAACATATATTATCTCGGCCATGTATTATTGTTTGCTATGTCTACACGAAACAATTTTATTATTATGCAAATTTAATAAATTACATCCTTTTTATTTGTTTTTAATGATTTTAACGCAGTTCAACGCCGATTACATTAACGTTTGAATATTTAATACAATTATGAAAAACAGAGGCTTTATCACACAGTTGAAGAAGCTCTCTCACTGTGTATGAAAACTGTAGTTGGCAAAGTGATTGAATTACATACCACACGGAACCAGATGAGTAAATTAACCAACAGTAGACCGAATGTCTGACTAGTTAGTAGTGTAATAATGTTACTTAAGTCATGCAAGCCATGAACATGATGTATACATTGTACAATATGGAAAACCCTTTCCACCGTCATGCTACGTTTAAATGATGCAAAAATAATAAATTTAATTTTGTGTACGAAGTCACGAGAACCAAAAGCATACAAGGGTAATATTTTTCAAAAACTCATTTTTAAACATTGTACCTAATCGAATATCGACTAATAGACTATAATATAATAACAATGAATAACATGAAAAAAAAAACTGTAATAACAACAAAGCTTCGACGAGAATGTATTGGTTTGTTTTTATGAACAAAACTTTTATAAAAACAATTTATTATTTCCGCTATTACTTTTTATTTTTAACGTTTTTGAAATAGTCGAGACATTTCTATTGTGGATTTTCAAAGCACTTGTACATATATGGATTGTTTAAAGCTGTATGGGGGTTGTTAGTAGTTTTTACATTATATACAAGAAAATAAATATGTTAAAAAATGGTTTAAACATGCATATTAATATAGTATTTTGGACATTTGAGTATTGAACGAGTTGAACATAACGTCAATTACACACCTTTATTTTTGTTCAGCTACTGGACAATTGATAGAGGCCGTGGAAATTTGTTAAAAACAAAAAAAAACCCGGATTTTTTTGAGAAAATATAAAACAGTATTTTTTCGGACTAATGTAAATGGTAAATCTTTGTCCGTCATAAAAAAAAACCAAATTCAGTAATTCCACTTCTTATTGCTGGTTAGCTTATTACATTCCGTTTCTGTGCAGTATCAGTTGAAATTATCAAAGGTCCTAACAAGTTAAAATTAACATTTATATTGAAAACGAGTGGTGTTTGTTTGCATACACTAGTGAATAGTATTTGCCGATGCCAAATTGGCCTTGGGCAAAATTGT